GTTTTCAGCCTTCTGACTCGGACCTAGTCAGTATTTGACTCGGACCACTCGGACCGAGTCAGTTCCGAAGCCCAGAAAGTGTTTTGGGCTTGGCTGATGTTTTGACTCGGTCGAGTCAAGTACTGACTCGGTCCGAGTCAATACTAAATGGGCCGAGTCAAGAGTTGACAATGGGCTTGGGCTGATTCGTTCTGACTCGACCGAGTCAGAGTTCTGACTCGGACCGAGTCAATACTCGGAAAAAGTCTCTTTTCACAAGGATTAGGGTTCCTATCTTATAAGAAGGGTATTGGACGCCGTCCTCAACCTAATACAGACGAAAAGAACCCTAAAACAGAGCAAAAAACTCAGAAGAAATCGTTTCTTTCATAGTTCTAGCTCTCGGGATTAGATCCCACTTCATATACTTCACAGATCCTAGCAGATCGGTTCCAAAAGCGTTTGGAATCCTTCCCGTCGGTGTGGATACGTGTAGAGGAGCTGTACTTTCAGCTCTTGGTGATTAAAACAGGCCCTGGATCGATTGCTACTTTCAGATCTTCAGGAAAGAGGTAAGTATTCGATTCCTACGGTGATGTACACGATCTGTCGGGGTTTTACGGATGATTTTGGTTGCGTGTGACGTTTGACTAGGTTTAGATTATCCTTCCGCTGCATGAAACCTAGTAAACCAAACCCTAGATCGATATGATCGCATGCTAGGAATCCGTAGCCTAAAACCCAACACCAAGAACCACCTGGTTATGGTAATGAAGTGCTTAATGATCCCAGAGAGGCTTTTCCAGAAGGATACCAAAGAAATCCGCAAAATTGATAGGAGTTTCAAAGCTATGGAACTTCCAAGGTAAGAGAAGATAAGTGTCAGTAAAATCACATATCCAGCAAGAACAGGGGTCGACAAAACCTTTGGTCTCATGGGCGGGAAAATGTCCAAGAGAGTTAAAACTATCTGGCCAATGGAAAATGGTACTAGGACGAAGAGATAAGACACAAATACATTGGTGACAAGAACCTGCAGGAGAGAAACAAAGTTTGTCACTTTGTATGCTTATGTTTTGCACATTAAGTCCAACAAGACAAGAAAAATCTCTAATGGATAGAAAATGTCTTGATCTCTGACCACAAGAACAGAGGAGTGGAAGGGACATAGAGACTCACAACAAAGACATTGTCATCAAGAAAGAAAAGAAACCTCCTGATGGCTTCAAACTCATGAAGAGGTGCGTTTCTAACAAAAGCAGCTTGTGGTCCGAGTGGGAGATCAATGAACTGATACCACCAATCACAAAGAATTCGTGTGTGTCTCCAAAAAATCGTCTCAGGAACTCCAACAAGTCCCTGTATTTGGATAATAATCTCAGCAGGTAAGGGGGCAAGTATCCCGTCCAGCCATACTGTGGATGCTCTTACAATGGAGATACCCACCATGAGCAATGCAATCCAGGAGCAGTAACACCCACCAAGGACAGAAGCAGAGGCAATCCAGGGAACAGACAATTTGGTCATAAAATATCTCTCAGTTTTATCAGTAGCTGCCTTACCCAAAGCCAGTCTGATAATCCAATAAGTGCTCAAGGGAATCACCACGAACCAGGCAAGAAAAAACAGAACCCAAGGCTTCACCAGATTAAACACTCTTGTTCCCAAGCCAATCATGAATTCTGTCAGCGTAAGCCTGTTGGGGGCGTTGTCCAGATAAACAGGAGCAAATGAGAATCTATGCCTGCAGATCTGCCGAGGAACAGACAAAACCGATCAGTAACATCATTCCAAGCTTCGCCCAATAGATTTAAGGATTCGTGAAAGAGACAAAAAATCGATTCTTGACTCTAAAAGTTGACAAAGACAGCCGGGAAATGGAAGCTGGATCCAGAAGAAGCATGTGATCGTGAAGAAAACCTAGTCAAGCAGCAAAATCTTGGAAAACCAACCTCGCATTTCTCAGATTGACGTTGATTGAGCCATTGAAGCAGGCATTCTTGGTGAACGAACTTGATGGAACCTTTACACTCGCATGGGTACCTCAAAGGGTTGTCTTGATCTCCGGGTAACCTGCAAATCCGGCATATTTCTTCATCTTCGATGTCCATCGCCGGAGACTGACCTTCCCTTTCTCTGTTTCGAAGGCGGAATCTTGCTTCTTCTGTGTACGTTGCTTGAGCGGGGGAAATGAGGAAAAGACAAAAAAGCTGATATGATCCGTACAGTATTGCAGACTTAAAAGGGAATATTACTCAAATAACCCACTTGGGTCGCAGCAATTTCAGTGTACACCACCGAAAAAAAAAAAAAATTTTGCGACCTTATTACGACTAATATATAACTAATATACAACCTATTACGACTAACAAACTACTCTTATTTTAGTTGTATATTAGTTATATATTAGTCGTAATAAAGTCGCAAAATTTTTTTTTTTTCTGGGTGGTGTACCCTGAAATTGCTGCGACCCAAGTGGGTTATTAGGGTTAAAACCCCGACTTAAAAGGCGACTTCTCCTTGACCACGGTTAAAAACTTTCTTCGAACCCTTTGACCGATCTTTTGCTTCGAATTTCTCCCTTTATTTCTTTTCTTTTCGTATCGAAGGTACAATAAATAAATAAATAAAAGGAGGCAGTCAGCTGAAAAAGAAACGTTATATAAAGGAAAAATCCCAAAAAAATTATCGAACTTGGAGATAGCTCACATATTAATACTAAACTTTTCAAATTTCCAAATTAAATATAAACTCGTCCATTTTGACACAAAAAATACTGAATTTGTAAATTTTATACAAAAACTTCATCGACGTTAAACGGTGTTAAATCGATTAACGGCTGATCTGACGCGGCGGATGACTCAACGCCTCGTCATCCGCCACATCAGATAAAAATTTAAATAAAAATAAAAAATAAAAAATAAAATAAACAAAATAAAAAATAGAAATAAAAATAAAAATAAAATAAAATAAAATAAAAACAAACTAAAAATAAAAAATAAAAATAAAAACTAAAAAATTTAAATTTAAATTTAAAATTGAAATTGAAATTGAAATTTAAATAAAAAATAAAAGTAAAAATAAAAATAAAAAGAAAAAATATAAAATATATATACATAAAATATTAAATATTAAATATATATATATATATATATATATGTATATATATATATATTTATTTAATAGTTACTATTTAATGTATATAAATATATATGTGAATTTTGAAATGTTTATTATATTTTTAATTATTTGTAATGTAATTACAATGATTTTATATTATTTTATGTATATGTGTATATTGTATATATATTGTCTATTATATATTGTATATATATATACATATGCATACATATATATATGTGTATATATATATGTGTATATATGTATATTAATATACACATTTAACATTTGATATTTACTTTTATTTTGTATATATATTGTATATCTATATAAATATACATTTTTATTTTTTTATTTTTTATTTATTTTTTATTTTTTGTTTTTTGTTTTTTGTTTTTTATTTTTTATTTTTTATTTTTTATTTTTAAAATAAATTTTTATCTGATGTGGTGAATGACGAGGTATGAATCATCCGCCACGTCAGATCGTCCGTTAAGTGATTTAACGCCGTTTAACGTCGATGAGGTTTTTGTCAAAAATTTACAAATTCAGTATTTTTTATGTCAAAATCAACGAATTCATATTTAATTTGGAAATTGAAAAATTTCGGTATTAATATATCAGCTATCTCCAAATTCGGTAATTTTTTTGGGATTTTACCTTATATAAAAGCTCAACATTTTAGTGTTTTACATAAAAGACCCTTTTTTTGTTTACCAACAAAAAAGTTTCTTTTTTTCTCTTATTATTTCCTACTTTAAAATATAAAAAAACGGATAATATCGTTAAAAAGCTCTCCTCACACAAGTTCCGTCAGATAATTAAGGGTAACAACAAATGCTGACCCCGTACGGGTATGCTCTCTAACAATATGCTCCTGACCTGTAAACAAATCTTTGTAGCAATACCATAACCATTTGCCATTGCTCTCTTGTGATTCTGCCTGAGAATTATTAATATGTAGGACAATGACGGAATGTGCTGTTCTGTTGGCAATTGTCTTGTTGAGAAAGGGGCGATGCATCGTTCACAATGATGCTTTGAGTATCAATCAAGTCTTGAAAGAAGATGTGCATTACCTGGTGGTGTTAACTATATGCAAAGGGCACCCACATCTGGTTCCCCTGTATCGGCTTCGGACGGTCTCCTGCAATTTTTCCTTTCTTTTCTACCCTTTTTAGATTCAACCGTTTGGTTACTGCAACATATTACACCGAAAAGAATCAGAATGCGAATAACTCTAATAACAAAGGAGATGCTCTCCCTGCCATTCATTTGATGTTAGCGCAGATTAAGTGCTCAAAGAGCATTATGGAGAACTGATACATGAACTTACGCTAGCAATCTCGCAGCGGATTTCCCAGTTATTGTTCCGCAGCAGGCTTTATATTTCTTCTTTGACCCACATGGGCACATCTGATTCCTCGAGATCTTCTGCTGTTTTCAGTAAAATGTAAATTATCTCAGTTATCATATTCAAATCACAAATTATTAAATGAGAAGGAAACAAGCTCTCATGCTTTCGGTGGAACTACAAAAAGAAAAAAAAACCTTGTCATCCGGCTGTGAACTGTGTTCAGTGTGGACTCTCTTGATGTTGTTGCAATTAGATGGTTCCTGCTCATCGGCCTTCTCTTTAGATTCTTCCATGAGATGCTCAGTGCTTTCAGTCAGCCTATCACCTGCTGTGTTTTCACAACAAATGTCACAACGGATGTATTTTCCAACTAAGAACATTAATTAAAATCGAAATGAAACTATCAAATAATTGGCTGAACCATCAGAAAGGTACCAAACTAGCCTCAATAAACAATTTTCAACTCCTTTAGAGAGAATATTACTTTGGATGTTTCTTAAATATTTCATACAAGATATCAAACTTGAGATACGGGAGAGATGACCTTAAGAAGATCAGAACTTCACCATTTTTAGGAGAAAAAAAAATGCCGATTAAGCAGATCATTCCCATCACATACAACCTAAGAAGAGAAAGTTTTATCTTATAGAATAAAAGGATATCACATTCCAAATATGGCTTTTGTGCTAGTTACTATTTCCACTTCCAGGAACATGCAAGATACTACAAGTAAAGATTCGAGAATAGATCAATTCTTACCAAGTGGAGTATCTGCAGAAGGGGTTTGTGAATCATCATCCACCAAAATTTCCGATCCTTGCTCTGCTATAAGAAACTCTATCGCCACGTCAACATCACCATCTACTTGTAGTAGAACCTGAAGAGAGATCCCAGATAATATATCAAAGAAAGAAAGGACTCTGAGCACTACACACTTGTGAAAGAAAGTCTTATAAATGAAGTAGAAGTTATATTTCAGCTTATCACCTGTTCTGCTTTTTCGGCATTGTCGCAGCCACTACCAGCCATGACTAACTTGATAGCTGCAGCATCCACATTACGCATATCAGTTCTGTTTTTGGACTTGCTGCTTGTAGCCTTTGCTTGTTTAGTCGATGCTGAAAGATTAGCATCAGCCTTACACAAACTAGAACTTATCAGGCCAGTGGTACCAAACACTTTTAACATAAAAAGACAGTTATCAGATGAATACCTTTATTACAACAGGCCTGGCTGGTCCTCCACAAGTGTCTTCCTTCAACCGCACACTGTTATAGTGTTCTCCGTCGTGATAAGATCTGAAAAAGAATAGTTAAGTTACTACAGGCTACGTGAACCATCTCCATTTTTAGAGATCATATATTTCCGCAATGAAGTCATCTGGAATTTTCAAGCGAATTAATCGATAACACAATCAGTAACAGGATCAACCACTTACAAATGGATCATGCGGGTTCCTGCATCTTCAAAATTGCGTATATACCAACGTGGTGACAGGTTCTGTGATAAACAAACCAATAGAGAAAGAAGTCTGCACTGCATTACTCTTAACTATTTTGAATGTTTTACATTTTTAGTTCCCTTCAACATGATTATCAGCATGCAGATTATGGCATGGGTATTATATCAGATATCATAATGACAAATGAGAGTGGGTGCTCAAGCCAATAGACCTTACCCTGTGAATACATATATTACAGCGCGTGACAAGAGAAGCTGCCTGTAATTCCATATGGCCGGCCCAGGTGCCATCGCTTTCCATGGATTTACAGTACTCATCAAAAGGCACATCATCTTCGATAAAAGGCTCGAACATTTCACGATTTTTCTGTTATAAGAAGATTAAACTCAAACCATAAGTGGACGGGCTTATGGCAAATTTAGGTCCAACACCGATACCTAATGCAACTTACCACTATATACTGCACTACCATGCTGCGGTACTTTCCATATTCATCCTCACTGCCTTCCAATTGATCAGCAAGTGCCCTGCAAAGAGAATCACAAGCAAAACATATAAACCAAGAAAATGGTCCTTCGAAGTTCCTTATGCCACATCCCTTGTCTGATGAAACGCGTTCCCAGTTCAATAAATCACAATCGAGGAGATTTATCAATCATCAAATGCGAAACTGCAGTATAAAAGAAGAAAGAATCAAAGACACGGACCTGAAGAGACAATTACCGTCTGCAGTCACTTGGATTATCTTAAGCCCCAAGGCGTCAAGCTGGGCACGAAACTGCGAGAGATCACCCTCTTTTCCCTGCTTCTTCACCTACGAAACAAACAGATTTCTACAGCCTAAATCACAATACACAGAGAAATACAGCAAACAACAACAATAAACGAACAGAGAACACAAAATAAGCAAACAATACATGAAGCATGAATAAACGAAACAGAAACACCAGCAACACCCCGAATTCGAACGCCAGCAGAAGCAAACGAGACTCGTATCGTGAAAAAAAAAAGAATAAAAAATAAATAAAATTCAGGGAACAAAAAGACAGGATCATACCTGATGCTGTTGTCTCCTCGGCTTCGATTTCTGCGGCTTAGCTTTCGCCATAAGATTCCTTCTTCTCACTTTCCTGAGACTATCTCCTCAAGCATGGAGGATAAGAAAGCTAGTAGCCCGAAGGATGCGGCGGGGGAATCGCAACTAGCCGTCGCCGTCTTAGCCGAAACTCGGAGAATCGCCGTCGCCGATCGCGTGCTGAACCAGAAAAGAAGCCCGTTGGGCTCTGATAGGACGGGGTACGCAAGATAAAAGGGAAATAATTAAGAAATGGGCCGATATTATTAAGGCTCAATAATATTACAAAGCCCGGCCCAAATATTTTATTTGACACGTGGAGACTTTTGGGTAGGTGAATGGAATTATGGAATCAATTATAGTGGTTGTTGGCACGTGATCATCATCATCATGGAGATTTTTATCTTCCTTCCTGCTTCACCTCACAGACCAAGAGCCAAGAGAATGGACGATCTGACTGTGATCTCTACAAGTATTGTCCGACCCGAAAACAACGATCGATCGGGTCGGGTCAAGATCCATCTTACGCCATGGGATTTGTTTTTTCTTCGAGCAGAATACCCTCAAAGAGGTCTTCTTTTTCCCAAACCCGACCCGGAAACCGACATTATCTCTCCATTGAAAGCTTCCCTCTCTGCTGCGTTGGAAATCTTCTACCCATTAGCCGGCCGTCTCGTGAAGGTGGAGAATGAAGACAACACGGAGTCGTTTTACATCGACTGCGATGGTTCCGGCGCCAAATTTGTCCACGCCGTGGCTAAGACCGTGTCGGTGGGTGATGTTCTCGAACCGGCCGATGGTCTTGTCCCAGATCTCATCAGGCACTTCTTCCCCGCCAACGGGACCAGGAGCTACGAAGGGGTCTCGGAAAGTTTGCTTGCGGTGCAAGTAACCGAGATGGAAGATGGGGTCTTCATCGGTTTTGGTTATAACCATATGGTGGCTGATGGATCTTCGTTCTGGAAGTTCTTCAACACTTGGTCGGAGATTTGCTTGAAGGGCCTGCACTCCGATCACCGGAAAAGCCTCCCACCAATTCTTCTCAAAGGTTGGTTCCTTGACGGGATCGATCCACCGATTCACATTCCAATCTCAGAGACAAAACCACCAACTCGAGGGATTTCATCGTCACCCACTTTGCAAGAGAAGGTTTTTCGCTTCACGAAGGAGAATATTTCGCAGCTCAAGGCAAAAGCCAACAACGAAATTGGATCCAATGCTGAAAAAATCTCGTCTCTTCAAGCGATTTCTGGGCATATGTGGCGATCGATCATCAGGAACAGTGGCCTAAACCGGGACCAAGAGGTCCAGTGCAATTTACTGGCGAACATGAGGCAGAGGCTTAACCCTCCACTCGAGACAGAGTGTTTCGGCAACGTGGTCTGCTTCGGGACAACCAGAACGACGGTCGGAGAGCTGATGGACCATGACCTGTGTTGGGCTGCTTTGCAAATCAACAAAATGGTGGGGTCAATCACGAACGAAAATCTCAGAAATTTCGCGGAGAAATGGGTGAAGAATGTGGAATTTCCGAATATTGGAGGGGGAGGAATACCCAGTAATCCACTGCTGGTTGCGAGTTCTCCCCGGTTCAATGTGTACGGAAACGATTTCGGTTGGGGTAAACCGATCTCGGTTCGAGCTGGACCGGGAAATACCAGCGATGGCAAAGCCATAGTCTACCCCGGAACCCAAGAAGCAAGCATCGATATTCAGCTGTGTTTATCATCCAACGTGTTGGCAAAACTATTGACAGATGCTGAGTTTCTTGAGAGCGTAACTGTTGCATAAACCATTGTATTAGCAAAACCACTGTACTATCCCTATTTATATAGCCATTATGCATCTGCCTACAAATCTGCAGTCTACAATATAAGCCACAAAAGGAGCGAATTCATATTTGAAAACACTCAAACAACTTATGAAGAAGGAAATGGCTGCATCTTTTGCCAAATACTGGAGGAATGAGCCCAAAGGTAGAAACTTTAAAACCGGAAACCCATAAATCAACCCCAAGCATAATATCTCCAAGTGGAAGTGACTAACATTCTAACCTAAAGAATTGCAGACAATTTGTGGCATAGCACCATAGATATCATCAATGGGAGCCATGGCAAGGAGAGGATAATGCCACTTGGAGAATGGATATGTGATTGGGATTTTGAGAACTGGACTGACCCGGTGAAGCTTCCGGATGAGCCGACAGTTGCTGGACTTCTGGTCGGGAGAGCAACATTTCTGCAAGAACCAAACGCTGCTCCAGGCTGCACAATATGAAAAACCAGAGGAAAATGTTTGAAGATTTGATTGTTATAGTTAAGCACAAGGTATCAAGGAGATGAGTTATATTCAACTGCCAAGGGGAAGAGCAAGTTGAGAAAACGAACCTGGCAAGCAGAAATTGTGCTACATCCACATAATACCGGCCCATTCATTCTATCCAAAACCTCAAAAACACCCCCACCATCACTTCTCTGCATTGTTTCATGCACAAAGTTTAGGAGATTCCACAAATAAAAATATCACATTTCTTTTGATTTCTTTCACCCTCTAGGTTTGAGAGCCAATACCATGTAGAAGTTAACGGCTAGAAAGTTTGGCATTCTATTCCCAGCTGCCTTCAGACAGGTTCCGACCATCTCAGCGAGCGGAGCTGAGTGCTCCTTACAAGCATCTCGCTCAACCGGATAAGTGGGGAAGTAATTCATCAGGAAAAGTGATGATGAACTCTTGGATGTCAAAGGCTTTGACTCCTTCCTGTTGGGACAAGAACCATGTTTAACTCCGGGATCCCCAGCTGCAAAACCGAATCAAAATAGCAGGAAAAAAACAAAATCGTTCAGACAATTGCTGTAAATATATTGATTTGTGGTATTTTTTAATTGGTTATTCAAACTCACATTCATTTTCAACCATGTATCTCCATTGATATGCTACTCCTTCTTCTTCTTCTTTTGCGGCAACAGAAGTGAAAACCAGGAGCCTGTGATTCTCTTGCACCATCTCAGTCACAGTGGGCCAATCTTCACCCTTTTTGGGCATTTTCGAGACGGGAAACCAGTATTTGTCCAAACCAGCATTAGCAAACAGAGTTGATAGACCTTTAGGGGTTCGAACATAATCCTCAATTATGATGGTAACGATCTCTGTAGGGTTCTGACTCAGGAATG